CCACAGAGATACAGAGAGCAAGGTGGTGAAAGAGAATAAATGCGTTCAGCCTTCATACTTTTTAGGCATTGGACTGACCGTTTCTCCAGGTTTCCTGAAAAAATTTTGACAGTCACATAGGTGACAGTAGCGTGTTATCATTGGCAGCCTGATTACTGTTTGCATGCTTCCACTCAAAACTTCCACTCCCTCCTTCTGTTTTGCTTCCTGCAACACCAGACATTCTCATTTACAGCTACAGTATCAGTGAGCACTAGACATATTAGAAACCATGTAAGGGAATAAGAGTTTATTAACTATATTTATTAATCAAAAGTAATTATAAATAAAGTGTGTGTGTGTGTGTGTGTGTTTGAGATGTAATTTAATTAAATACAAGGATGTATTGGAGGAAAATACATATTTACACACTTCCCACAGTGTGCTTATGCATACAATCCCACAGTCTGGTATTGCTTTTTTTTGTTTGTTTTGTTTTTGTTTTGTTTCCCTGTTTCGATAGAGGAGGTCCCTGCAAATGAGTTTAACAGTTTGAAAAAAAGTTGAGATGAGAAATTTTGAAGGCTAGCAGGACAATTGAGATCATATTGTGAAGCTGCTATTATTAAGTAACTTGATTCAACTTTTTCTTTTCCTTTCTCTTGGAGAGCCTCCAAAACACACAAACAAACTCACAGTACTGACATGTTATCGGGTCATAGCAAACAATTGCTATTTACACATTCAGTAGGCATGGCACAACATTAGCATTCATTTGGAGTTGTGTTTCTGGCCACCTGTCAAATGTACGATGGATATTTACTCTCACTCTATTTATTTATTTTTTGCTCTGCTGTAGCATCTGCCAACTCTTGAGAAACAATATCTAGGTCTTAACTTGCTAAATGTTTGACTTTCTTTACCCACTAGCGGTTTATCTTGTCTGTACCATGTGGTGCTGGGCAGGTAGTGTGCAGTCTGTTTATCAGAGCTTATTTACTGAAAACAGCTGGCTGCTGCAGGAAAAGGGGTTCATGAGGACAGTTAGACTGAACAATATGAAATGTACTGCTCATACCTATGGACCACGTATTAGTCAAATTTGTAATGTATTATATACATGCAATGTAGTCTGGTTCCATAAGCAAAGGGTACACACAGGTGCAGCTGCAGGATATCTTCTGTGGAAACTCCCACAAGGTGTTGGGGCTGTGTGCACCAGCATGAATGCTAATTTATGGTAGACCATATGGAGACAGCATTGTTGGTAGGTGACCAGAGCTCAGAGGGCAGTGAGAGGTTAGCGTTGCTGGACTGTGCCCTCATCACGAACACTCATCTAGTTATTGTTTCTGATGCTTATTAGGCCGCTCAGCAGATGGACGATAATCTGGGCAATGATTACCATCAGAAGCAGTGGCTTGTAACTCATACTTAGCCAACAAAGCTCATCTGGAGGACATAAGGGGACAAAGAACAGCTCCAACCTCAGATGTGGCACCATTCAGTGTGCCTGACAGAAACTGTAGTATTTGTGTCCTATGCAAGGCAGTGTTTGAGCGAAACTTCTACGGGGTGCTCCTGTTTATTCAAGGCACGTTAGGCAAGCTCAGCTATTGACAGTGTTTACTTATGGAAGTGACATTTGCAACTTTATTTAATTCAGTCAGTTACTGGCTATTGGGATGACCTTTTGCTGGCTTCCCTGGCAGGAGCCTATAAACCTCAGAGACTCGCCAGCTTTATAGGCATTCAATAATCGCACAAGGCACTATTGATGAAGTTGTTGTGTGCACTACCTATGAAATGAATTGGCCAAGGAGCAGAAACCACAGCAGTGCAGTGGCTGTGTAATCCTGATGAGGATATTTATGAAATTTAGATTGATGAAAATGCAGTTCAGAGGTATTTCATGCTCTTTGTCAACATTTAGACAATTATTTGTTTTATGTAAGGAACTCACTGTTTGCATTCCATTAGCTGTGACACAGATTTTTTGTCAGAAACATCAATGGATACATTTTGGTCTTGTCTGGTGGTTGTCTGTTGGAGACACATGGGGGCTGCATGGAAGCCATTTAATACCAGATACCAACCTATCTATCCCTCAAAAAGTTTGTGAGAGAAAGATAGATGGGTGTTGAATAGAAGGAGAGTCTACTTTCATTCTCACAGGAAACAGAGATAAGTCTAGGCTCTGCACACAGATACATGTGGACTATTTATTTCTCTGTCTGTCTGTCTGTCTGATTACCTGCAAACCTTTGGTTCCTCGTAAATATACAATTTTGCCTCAACCATACCGCAAATATTTGTGTCATTTAAAAAAGAATGACAGGATAAACAAGGCAAGCTTGTGGCTTGCTGTTTGTGTCAAAGTGTTGTTAGAAAAAACTGTAAATTCCCTTCTAGAACATATAAATTGAGCCAGATATGCATTTCAGCTCATAATCTTCTCATTAATTACATGTATTGGGAAAATTCTGAATTATTGTGATTCATTGCCTTAATCCATCACTTCTGTGAAGAAATTTCCTGCAAACAAATTAAATCAATTTACTCACACAGGCAAATACACTATATATGGAAGAGAGACATTGAATCTCATTGGCATTCTCTGCTTTAAATGTGCCGGGGAGTGAAATCCATCACACAGATAAGATGGATTCCCTTTTATAGAACAGCCGTAAGTTTTAAACAATATGAAGATTCATATGTGCTTCAAGACTGTTCCTGCATCATAGGCAGTATGTTAAACAGTCGACGCAGGCTGCACTAAAGGGCAGAGACTGTGCTTTACAGAACCTTTACCATGATATTCAGGCTCAGACGTAACATATTAACAACGCAACATATTAAGCATGGAGACAAATGGATTCGATTGTGCAGTGAAAGGGAGAAAAATACATCCTAAGGTCTATTATTTACAGCCTTCCCACACATGCAGACATATCACCAGCAGGATCACCAAGCTTTGCAGTAAACCTGCAACAGTTCACACCTCCTCTATATACGCTCCACACAGCACAGATGGTTTTGTTGTGGTTCACTTGGCAGTCAGCACCATCTCAGGCTCATGCAGAGCTATAGGATTTCATAGTGTTTCATTAGAAGTCACACATGGAAAAATAAGGAACGAAAAAAAAACAGAAAAACATATAGACTTCACATAAGTCCAGACAGGTTTCAAAAGTCAGCAGGCTTACTGAAGGCATGCTTAAGGAAGCAAATGCGTATGAAGAAGTAAATTTCACCGCACATCACATGCCACAAAGCCCCTTTCCTCTGATCTCGGCGCCCTGCCCCAAGGGTGCAATAACAGTTTATTACACCTATCCTCACTTTATGACCCCCCTTACCCTCCACCCCGCTCCCCTCAAGCCCACGCTAACTGTTATTGAAAACACCCTGGTCTGCCATATATCATTCCTGAGCAGCACGTTATGCTATGTGCAACCTAGCTAATCACCACAAGCTCGTGTGGGTATTGTCCAGGTCACATCGGAATAGTTCCACTTATCTAATATCTGCTTAGGTGTGGAAGTGTTTAAACACAATCCCAT